TTAACAATCTCTCAAGGAATGAAACCCACACCCAAGACCATCAAGAGTGCCTGGTGCCTCTGAACAATCGAATGGGCTAATCCAAGCTTGATGCTCGAAATTAATTGAGACATTCGCACAAGGTGATGACCGTCGGCCGTGTAGCTCAAGGGTAAGGGTTTGAAGCCCCTACCCGACTGATCACGATTTGAGTCTCGACAGGGACACAAAAAGTACGCACTGCTGACGAGTCCCAATCAGGACGAAACAGCTATCCAGTGCTCTTTATTGGTTATCACAAACATTTCTATCTATCTATAAAGTGGACATTTCAGCAGATCCCCATGGTTTTTTGAAGAGGCATTCAACGTTTGATTGAGTAGGAATGATGGGTCAAATTTAGGGTCTCATATTGCACTGGAATAGTTAAAGTTTTCAATACGGAGTTGAGAGCGTAATGTTTGTTTAATTGCGCAACTTGACAGAGATGTAAATCCGGTCCGAATGTGGCAGATTACGGTTGTTTTTGTTTCGTTCAGTTATTAAAAGATTCCTTCAACGCTTACTTACGACTGAAGGATGTATATGATCTTTACCGATCGTCAACATTCGTTCCTTACTTGGATAAATATAATCTTTGAAAGTCCTCCGCAATAACCTACTTTGGCTACTAACTTCAATGTGCTGCAGCGACATAAAGTATGCTTTTGTTCATTGAGGTTCAGCCTTAATCAAGATTAATTCACCTACAGTACCCCATATCCGCCAATGCCCATGCTACCCGGGGGCCTTTGATCAGAATTCTTTCCACCCAGTTTACAGAAACATGAATTCCTAAATGTTCCTGAAAGGTATTCTCAAAATTCTGAGGTTACGGTTTTTGAACGCAGTGAATAGACTTGTTCAGTTGTCTAAATCCTTATTTTTTTTGATTCCCATCCCATAATATAGTACGCCCTAATCACCATGCTATTTGTTTGTATATAAATTCAATATTTGTGTGCGTATGTTTCTATTGCTTCTCCGTTCACTGTATTTTGACAACCCGTCGGGACTCGTTGATTGGTTCATCGCTTGTGAATCACATCACCCCTACTGCTGCAGGGGGCTTCACCGACGGACGTGTGATTTGCGCACTCGTAACCACGATACGCGCCGCATGGTCACAACGGCCGTGCACGCATACACGCACGTGTGTACGTTTGTACGCGTGTGAATAGTGGGGCAGACATAGTTGTGGCACGGAGGGGCGTGTCGGGACAGGATGGAACAGACCAATTCCGATAGCAATGGCCTGGGTGTGTTTGTGTTGCACAGACTCCTTCCGTGCTCTTGTTCCGGGTCCCCTTCATGGGCGGTTTTCCGCTCACCCACCCACCACCCATCCGTTCAACCAACCATAGCGGAGGAGACTATGTTGTGGCTCAGACTCCGTCTAGAAGCGGAACCCATCACTCCCTATCCAACATTTCATGCACACGCTACGCTTGAGGAGTGCGTGGTTTGACGACTACTACGTGACGGTTACACCAATCACGTCCCGGTGAATTTTACACTCTTCTGGTGGCTCGTGTGGAGCATCAAGAACCGCAAAGTGATCGCACCCTCGTCTTCACCACAATCCGATGATTCACAGTTGATACGAGTACATTAGGTGAGCGAGGTGTGTTTGAAATACTTTTATTACACTGTAGTCCTATTGATACAGTATCTATTTTATTTACTTTTGTCAAGATAATTTTATTCCCAATTAGTGATATACATTGAGATGTATTGGTATGAATACGAATCTCTGGAAACGAGCTTGTTCGCGCCTTTGTTGTTTTGTTTGAAATTTGCTCCATGGGACAATTTCGACAATATTTACTTTTACCATGATAAATTTGAAAAGCGAAGACAGTATAGCAACATTGCACGATTTATGTCCAGAACATAAATCGTGCATTGTTGCTATAGTGACTTCTCTTTTAAAATATTTATTTAATAATATTAAATTATCATTAATTATAATTACCCGACAATTTAAACTTCGTCGGGTATTCCAATTGCCCTACTTTGATAATTACTCAAATAAGAGGATAAAGTAGCGAGATAAATCATCGACCTGTCCAGGAGTATTATCAGTGTTTGGTGTATATATATATATATATATTCACGGGATTCAATATGATATTGCCCCACATCAGACTCAACGTATCTCTAAGAGTCTCTACTTATTTCTCTGCTTCTATTAGCCGAAGATCATTACCATATACGATTTCTCGATTTTGACGATGGTCGCTGGTGCATCAGTTGTAAAATAGAAAAACCATAGAAAAAAACAACTATAAGCATAACTAGAATTTATGTATCAAAATCACTCAAAGATTTGATACAGATATTTGCATTTTGTGAATGTTCTATTTGTCCCTTTTTATTTTTGGGCTTTGGAGACAGTCACTTTGTATGGAGTCCACCAAATTGACTGCCCAACAGCATTTACCAGTTTGCTTCTAATACATGCCGCACCCAAACCACCGAAACCCCTGTCGAGGCAGTTAACT